AATGAAAAGTGCACCTGCCCTTCCATAACGGTCTGTTATCACATCGTTGCTGCTAAACTTTTCCTTGGAATGGAAGTCACCGATGGCAAACCAAAGAAGCAAGTGTTGAGTCAACTTAGAAGGAATGTTAGAAAGAAAAATGAGTCAAAAGGAGGTAGAAAACATCCACATTTAAGAGACATTGATGTCATTGATGAGGAAGGTGAAAGTAAGTAGTAATATATTAGATCTGCATAACAACTTATACACATAGGTGAATATCAAGAACCAGAAAAAAAGAAGCACTTTACAGGTTCTGAATAATGAATTAATGCTTTTTTCATTCCTTTTTAGATGAAGAGAAGACAGCTGATTTAAATAAATTGAATGATGATACTTTACTCTCTAATGATAAAAACAAAGTAAACCATACATGTTCATTCAAGGTGATAATAGAGTCATCATAATGACAACTTAATAGGTTTCAAGTATTGAGTTACTGTATAATCTTGATGGCTGCTGTATTACACATGAACACTTGTATCAGTTACTGAAAGGAGAAATGATCAATGTTAAAGTACATAAGAAGACTATATTGTTTTACTTTCTATCTATTCAAAGGTTATTGACTTATATATCAAGGTATTGGCAAAAACATATTCAACTGAGGTTAACCATTACGACTTAATAGTTATTGTTTGATAATATTTTAATAGGAAAGATTTGTAGCCTCATTACCATGTAATTTTATGGATTCGGTGATAAACATGAGTGATGTCTCTAATTGGTTTCAGCATGTTCCAGTAAGTTACACCTTCTACACAGTCTCTTTATCATTTTACATCAGGATGAATGTTTTCAAAGAGGATTACTCTTTTGGCCCATGTATCTACAGACTAAAAGTCACTTTATTTTACTTGTTAGTATTGAAATGCATGCATATACTAGAAAATTGTCCTTATTACATTTCATCATCATTTGTAGGTGGTCAACTTCATACTTAAAAGAATACTACTTTTAGATTCCTTGTCAGATGCTCAGTTTACTGCTGTACAGCATCACACTAGAAATATCAAGTAACTAATAAAATAACTGGTATAGTGCATATATTTGCAATTTTGCATTGACAGAGAACTCCTGATCAAAGAATGCAATACAAGAAATCTCAGAATTGACATTACATATTTTAAAGAAGATGTGCCGCTTGTATGTTACTATGCTATACATTAGTCACATTTCGTATTAACACAGAATGTTGCTCAGCAGACTAATGCCTTCTCAAGTGGTGTGTATGTTTGTAAGGTTAGCTCTGAAAAAGTAATCACAATATCATTGCAATTTGTTTAATAGTATGCAAAGTGTTGCTTAATAGCGCAAAGTTTGGATTTTGTTGTGAGTAATTTTACCCTACTAGCATAGCTACTAAGTTGATTTTATGTCCTTTATTAGGTGATTGATGATATTTCCCTGAGAAAGGAAATTGCTAATGACATGGCCCAGTGGTATGTGTTATGTTTATATTCCATGGCTTTATAATCATTAAATAGGGGTGTTTCAGGTCATGAGAATGTATCGAGTTGTGATAGGTGCAAGTTGCCCTTCCCTGCTAATAAATTTTTGTACCACACTAATGGCTGTCAGAATTCGCTAAGTCCCAGTAATCCACATGTGCCTTTAACTACTAGTACCAATAATGGTAAAGCAACTACATGTAATATTTTTCATGCATTATCAATCAACAATTTTTACAGATAATAAGGAAATAGATACATGTACACAAGACACTTCAATTAGTGCAAGCAATGATGGCCTTGCTTTTACATGTGAGAGTGAGAATATTGCTACATCTGGTGGTAAGCATGTCAACGTAAAGACTTTGTTAAATTACTTACTGCTGAAATTACCAGGGACAAGAAAGCGTAAACGTTGTGGTTGC